GACTCCTCCTTTTCCACCCTCCCACATTCCTATCACCTAAGAGGTTGCTCGGACCAAACACTCAGTTTGTCTCTGCTGCTTGTGTCTCTACCTAAGCCTCATCACCTCTAGCCTGGATCTCTGCTGTAGCGTCCTGACTCAGGGTCCAGCTCATTCTTGTTCTCTCCTTCATCCCTTTCATTCATTCTCTGCCCAACAACGAGAGAGATATCTTAAAACAAAATGGATCACGTCACTCCCCTGATCATTCCCTGCCACTGTATTCCACCACATTCAGGATAAACTCTAAGATCTCTCTCTGCAGGCCATGAGAGAAATGCCCACCTCCATAGCCTCACTATCCTCCATTCTCCCTGTTACTCTGCACGACATTCTCATTGACCCTTTCTAGGTTCTTGTAAGTTCTTTCCTACCACGGGGCCTTGGCATATGTTCCCTCTTCCTGTTCAACCCTACATATCTTTAAGATATCAGCTGAAATGTCCTGTCCCCAAAGAGGCCTTTAAGGACACAGCAATATAAAATAATCTCTGCTTCGTCCTTTCATGGAACCATGCCCTTTCTCTGCATAGAACTCATCACACATACAAAGAATTATTTTCGACTCTTCATTTAATGTCTATCTCTCTTCCAGGATGGAGACTGTGTTTGTATTTTTTGCCCACCCTTTGCACTCAGGAGTCACTCAATGTGTGTTCATTGAAAGAGAGCCAGCCAGCCAGCCACTATCAGGGTCAGGAAAAGCTCTAGAAGTAGGGAGGTGGGAAGTCAGAGCCCCTGCCGTGGGCTGTGTGCCCAAGCCAGCTCTGAACTGCAGGTGCCCACACAGCCTTCCTGCTGGCTACCGATGGACAAAGGTCTCCTCACACACCAATAGTCAGCCTCCACACTGTGTTGGAACATACCTCCTGAATTCCTCCCAGGCCCCCACCAGGCATCTGGGGAAGAAGGCAGCCCCCAGGGGAGAGACACATTAGCACCAGCCACTGAGCCGCAGAGAGCAGTGGGAAGTGGGAGATGGCAGCCCTGCTTAGACCAGGAGATGCCCACAAGGAATGTGATGTGTGCAGTCCCCCTGCAGGGCCGACTCTCCTGTGAGCATCAGTTTCCTGAAAATGGCTAATACTGCACAGGCTTGAGGAGATTAAGTCATTGTGTGATTAGTGAAGCACTAAGAACAACACTCATTAAACAAGAGCCTCCCACTGGCATTTGGACCACATGCTGCCCCAGTGGACACACAGGGGTGCACCCGAGAGGGCCCAGTTGGATCCGAAAGCCTGCTTTCTAGTAGTGGGAGTGTGGGGCAAGTCCCTATGTAGTCTCAGTTTTCCTTTCTGTAAAATGGAAAGAGAATCCAACCAGGGAAGACACCTGGAATGTATGATGTTATTTTCCTTAAAGGTGATCAACAAGGAGAGGTGATTGTCCTGGGTCAAAGTAGCAGGAAGGATTTGATAAACTGTCACCAGTCTGCTCCCCACAGGGATTCCAGGGTAGGAAAGAAAGGTGGAGCAGGGTGGAGTTTAAAGGGCTAGATGCTGCAAAATAGAAGCAATGGAAAGAGAAGCAAAGAGGAGAGAGGAAGAAGAGGTCAAGGTGCTGGCTGAAAGGTACAGGAGAGAGGCCAAAAGAACCATGCTGTGAGGGACAAGGATTGATGATGCTTCCAAGGCAGCAAGACCCTGAGGTGAAGGTCCACAGGAGCAGCACGCTGGGGGGCACACAGTCCCCTCCCAGCCCCTTCCCCAAGAGGACACAGAGTGCACCATGGGGAGCATATAGCACCTTTAGAGACCGGCTGTGGGCTCGCCCTTCTCTGGGCTCTGGCTAGGGGACGTCAGAATTGGGGAGTGGGTTCTGCATCGAGAGGAAGCAGCTTGCCTTGGGGAGGAGTACAGAGACTACTCAGGCCTTCCCCTCCCCTACTTGGCAGTTTTGTAGTCGGGCAACTTGAGTTTTTGCCCCCAGGGTCCGAGAAATTCAGGACCATATAACACCCCACGGTGGTGTTGCAGAGAGGAAAGCAAGAATGGGGGGGGGCGGGGGGGGGCATCCATATTTCCTTTCATCCCTCCCGCATGACCTCTCACCTCCTTGCACTGGAAGGTGCTGAATTAGAGGCTGCTCCAGCTCCGAAGCCCAGAAGTCCTCCCCTGAGGTCCCCCCAACCCGCAGGCCCAGGAAGGATTTATCCAGCACTCCCTGTTCTGTGGTTGGTGTTTCCACCTGGCTGATCTCCCAGCCCAGCCTTTGGTCCAGGGCTCTTGGCTCATTACTGGAGCTTTTAACCACAGCCCCAAGCGGGTGAGCGTGCAAACCGGCTGCATGTCACCTGAGTGGAGGACGGGAAACTAGGCCATCGTGCTTGAGTGAGCAGATCCCACTCTCTCCAGCTGCCACCTCCTTTCGCCACCTCCCCCAATGGTGCCCTGGCCTCCAGCACCCACCTCCGTCATTATTTTTGCAGGGGAAGGACTGGTCCAGAGCTCTGGGGCAGAAGGAACATGGAGAGAGGCGGGGTGGAGGGTGGGATATGGAGGAGGGAAGAGAAACCAAGACCTCAGTTCAGGAGCCCACAAGGAAAGGGCAGGGGAGAGGCTGGGAGGGTAGATGGACAAATGGGAGCCAGTCGTGGGGAGCAGCTGGGTGCCAGACCACAGGGGCCAAGGGTCATCCTGGGAACCCTCCAAGGAGCCAGGCTTGTTGGTCTGCATTGGCCAGGCTGGGCCCACTGTCCTCCTGCTTGGCCTCCTAGGTGTGGAGGCCCCAGGGGTGAGAGGACACAATGTGGCTGTCTTCTGCTTCATGCCCTGGCTCATCCACCTCAGTCTTCCTCATCTACATCATCTCTCTATCTCTCTTTCTCTCTCGCTCTGTCCCTCTCCCCCAGCTCTCTCCCCCTTTCTAAATTGATCTTTCTCCCTCCTTTTCTTCCTTGCCTCTTTCTTTCACTCTCTAGCTTTCCCTGTCTCTTTCCCTCTCTGTCTCATTATCTTCTGTTCTCTGCTTCTCCTCCCTGTGCCCTCTTCTCCTTGGTTCTGGGTCTCCGTCACTGGGTCTCTTCCAGAAAAGCATTGCTCTGTGGCTCAGTGGTGCTCAGTGCCCATCCCCTGCTGGGCTGGGCTGTGGGGACTCACAGATGTGGGCCCGATGGTGCTGTCTTCAGAGCTGTGTTACAACTGGGGAGGGTGCAGGGTGAAGTTATGGGAGCCACCGGGAAATTGGAGTGTCCTCTCACCTGGCTGGACCTGCCCAGTCATCCCTCAGTGCCCACACACTGACATTTTTGGTTCTTATGCTCGGGCAAGGTTCTTGCCTCCAGCTCCCAGCCCATCTCTCCGGACTCCTAACCAGGCAGACAAGCACGAGAAGAGCAGGCCTCCCCCCAAGCAAGGATGAGCTTGCAGCTGGCTGATCATGGCCATGGCTTTGCCCTTGGTCAGGAAGGAGAGAAGCCTCTAACTACTTCTCAGCCCTACCCTTCCTCTCTAGAACTCATTGGTGACACTCTTTCTCCTCTTTATCCCTCCCCTGAAAGAAGTGGGGGAGGCAGACCTCCAAGCCCACCAAGATGCCTTGTGGCAACTCCCCTTGCTTTCTCCTGACAGTTGACACCAGAGTTGGGGTCTGTTGGTCTTCTAGGAACATGGAGAAGGTGGGTCCTGCTCAGAGCCCATCCCTCGCGTGGCCACTCTGCAGATGTTTTCTGAGCCATTGGTGGGTGTGCTGTGCACTGAATCACGTGCTTGTAGCCATGGGCACACCTTGGAGGGCCAAGGAACTGTGAGAGGTGATTAATGCCTGGGGTTTAGATACTGCCTTGGAGTTGGCCAAGGGTGTGGGGGCTGGGAGTCCTGCCCAGCCACGTGGTAGCACTACGCAGTGGGGGTCAAGGCTGTAAGGAGCCAGCAGGGAGGAGAGAAATGGGGGGAAAGAGGGAAAGACAGCTCTGAGTCTGTCAGCAGCTACGACCGCCTCGCGCTCTGTGATCAGCCTGCGGGGAGGAACAATGCTTAGATGCTCAGAGGAGGTCTGCAGCTTTGCCGGGCCTTGGTGAACAAGGCCTGTGGGACCACCCCAAAGGAGGACAAGGCAGGATGTAGGGGCTGAGGAGGCCTCCGGGAGAGATCCAGGCCAGAAAAATGAGACCACTATTAAGCAGGGGGATTGGTTGGTGTCCCCAACTCCTCTTCTTCCCACCACTCACTGCAATGGGACATTCGAGGAACCCTTCAGGTTGCGAGTGGCATTTCAGGTAGAAAGTCCCTTGAGGAGCAGGGACTCTGACCTCCTCCCTCTTCAGAAGAACACACTGAGGCTTAAAAGGGGGGAGTCCATCAATTCAAGTCACAAAAAGCTCAGCCAAGGACCAGGACCAGAACCTGGCTCTGTGCATCACAGTGCCCCATCCCACATTAAATCAGATATGTCATTTACTCCTCAGGGATCCCAGCCTACCCAACAAGCCTCCCCTGAGAACTGGGGTTCCCCAACAGGTCTTTGAGAGATCAGAAAAATACCTTCTATTTATTTACTCTATCTCCCAGGCTGGTCTCAAACTACTGAACTCAAGTGCTCCTTCCTGCCTTAGCTTCCTGCCTAGTTGGGACTCCAGGCCGCAGCTGTTACTCCATTGTTAAGCTTGCTTTCACTCTGGGCTCTTGGGACTTGGAGTAGGAGGGTCTGACCTCAGCCTCCCCCTGCCTCTGCGGCCTTGGGCACCGGCTGATTGCTCTGTGCCTCAGGTTTCTGGCTTGTGAAATGGAGGTTACAGCCTGTGGCCTGCCTGACAGGGCTGTTGTGTTGGTAGAGAGAAGGTACGAAAACACTGTGCTCTTGGGTTATTCCTGGAAGACTCCTGAGGGGAAGTGAGCTTGGGAGACCCTATGTCCATCCTTTCTGCCCACTTCAGAGGGCCCTGGCTGTACATCCCCCAGCTCAAGTACAGCAGAGGGTCCCCACCTGTCCTCACCACCCCTCCTTCCACCTGCCCTCAGCTGCGTGGTGGATGAGATGGACTTCTCCAGCATGGAGCTGGATGAGGCCCTGCGGAAGTTCCAGGCTCACATCCGTGTGCAGGGGGAGGCCCAGAAGGTGGAGCGGCTCATAGAGGCCTTCAGGTAGGACCCCTTCCTCATTCACATGTGCCTAGAGCATGGGAGTGTGGGTGGGGAAGCAGAGCAGCTGGGATTCCAGAGACCAGAGGTGAGGGGGGATCACCCTTCTGAGGCAGGCATGAGGGTGGGCTGGAGGGAAAGGAGAAAAGGAAACAAAGGGGGCAGAACCCCTTGAGCCCTCTAAGCTGGAAGCAACATGGGGCCCTCCAGATCCACTGCCCGTCACTCGTCCCCACCAGCCAGCACATTTGTATTGAGCATCTGTGTGAGGCTGGTCCTGGGGGGCACCTGGGGAGAAGTGCTGCTAGCCTGTCTTCTCAGTGGGGAAGAGGACTGCCATATGGGGCAGACAATTATCTCCCTGGGCCCAAAGCCCTCGGGGAGCTGGGTCATCCCCTCGACAGTGCCCACTGCTGGAGCTTGGGAAGCTCGTGGTGCCACCCTGTGTCTCCCCCACCACAGCCAGCGCTACTGCATGTGCAACCCTGAGGTGGTGCAGCAGTTCCACAACCCTGATACCATCTTCATCCTGGCCTTCGCCATCATCCTCCTCAACACCGACATGTACAGCCCCAACATTAAGCCTGACCGGAAGATGATGCTGGAGGACTTTATCCGGAACCTGCGAGGTGAGGAGGTGGGGGCCAGGCCAGTTCATTGTTAATTCTGTGAGTCTGAGACCTAACTGTAGATTGTCAGCTGTTCTCAGGGTCTGGTCACCCCAGGGCAGGCTGGGAAGGTTGCTTGCTCATCTTCAAAGCAGCAGAGGCCCTTGGGCAATGTGAATACTCTCCATTGGATGGCCTGTAGGTCCCGGGCACCAGAGTGGGCACCTGGGTCTCATTAGCCCTTCCGCACTCTACAACTTAGGAGAGAAGAGCCAGGAACAGAGCCTTCAGGTCCTGGGTCCATTTTATTCAACCTTGCAGGCAGCTGTACAGCATCTGCCAGCCAAGTCCTTTGATGATTTTTGGCATTTTTTTTAAAAAAAAATCAAAGTTATACATGCATATAATTTAATAAGATCAAAATAATTCTATAAGGCTCACTACAGAAAAAATTAGTCTTTGCTCATCTCATCTTTCTTCTTTTCCAGGGGCAAACACTTTCAACATTTTTAGCTGTTTGTTTATTTTGTGCTGCTGGGGATGGAACCCAGAACCTCATATATGCTAAACAAGCACCTATTAGCTATTTATTTTGTGTTCCCTCTGTATCAATAAGTAACATTGTCCTGCTTCTTTTTTTTCTATTCCTTTTTTAATTGGTATAAAGTACATATTATACAAGGTATGTAAATCTGAGTGCTTGATGACTGTTTATCTTCATAGACACCTGTGTGATTGCACCTGTATCCACATACTGATTTTTACATCATCCCAGAACATTCTTCTGTTGCATCCCATTAGATACACTTGCCTAAGCTTAAGCTGAACACTATTCTGCCTTCTAGCACCATTATTTTGCCAATCCTTGAACTTTATATAAATTAGGTTAGACAGAAATATATACAGAGAGAGAGAGACAGATATTTATAGATACATACAGATGTGTGCATATATGTGCATAAATACACACATATACATATTGGTATCTGGTTTCTCTTAAACACTATTGCTTATTAGTTTTTTTAATTTTTTAAGCATTATATTTTAATTTCCCATTATACAACTTCAGAATTTAGCTCTTGTCCATCTGCCTTCCCCACACCATCCCCATTAAAACCAGTGTTCACGTTAGGGAGGCTGGCTACACACAGTGCAAACCTGAGTTACGATTCCTTTCCATTTCTATTTTCCTTGGAGTCAGTACTTGTATTATTTTTCTATTTCCTTAGCTCTCTAGATACCTGCCACCAGTCCATCCCGTCCTTGCCCCTGATTATCCAATTCCTGTCAATCACACAGACCTGGGAGGAACCCCAGGACTCCCATCCTCTTGCGGCCGTGTCTCCCAGGGCCTCTGCTTCTGCTCTATCTGGATGGTTGTTGGGCCAGGCCAGCCACAATCCATCATCCAGGAGTCTCCTGGGCTGGATTTCTTGTTCCTAAATATCATAGCTTCCTCATTTTTAGATGACTTTCAAAGAAAAGGCATCTTGGGGAAAAACATTTTTGAAAACTTGCATTTTCAAATATACCTGTCTCTATTTGCACCTTTGATTGGGAGTTTGCTGGGAACAGCAAATGTCCAACAGAATTCCAGAAGTAAACATGTAAATGGGAATGTTAAAACTTTGCCATCGTGCCTTAGCTGACAGTGCTGCTCTACCGTTTGAATTCCTGGCCTTTTTTACACACTCTTTTTCTCTCTTTCTGAAAAGTTGTTGATTCTGTTTGCCTTTCGTGTTTTCAATTCTCATAATGATGCGCCTTGCTAGGGTTCTGTTTCCACCCACTGTGCTCAGTACTGAGTTGATCTTTACAGCCTAAAAACACACAACCTCTAAATGTGTAAGGTTCTCTTAAATATTATTATCTCTTATATTTACTAAATATTGTTAATCCACAGGGAATTGCTTTCCAGTGTACCCCTCAGATGCTCAAGTGCCTTTTATATATAAAACCTAGGCACATCCTCCCATACATTTGAATTCACCTCTAGGTTACTTATAATATCAAATGCAATGCAAATAGTGGTCTTGCTGTTTACATAGCACCGTTTGGGGAATAATGACAAGGAAGGGCAGATGCAGGCTTTTAGAAATATTTCTGTTTGTCTGTTGGTGGAGCCCACAGACACAGAACCCGTGGACACCAGGGCACACTGTACCATGTTTGACCATTTAGTTTCTCCATATTTTCTGTACTTTCTTCACTTCCTGTTATTAAGATTTTGGGTCTCCTACTTGATCTTCTAATCTTTATAGTTTTCTATATGCCATCATTGTTTTCTTGATTGACTTTCTGGAAGATGTCCCTGAGCTTTAACTTTAAAGCCGCCTTCCAAATTTTTCATTCCTACTGTTACTGTTTTCAATTCCAGTAACTTGTTGTTGTTGTTGTTCTCTGAATGTTCTTCTCTTATAGCATTTTATTCCTGTTTACTAGTTGCAATATCTTCTCGTAGCTCTTTGAAGATATTCATATGTTCTTATTTGTTTGTTTTACTGGCTACCTGCTTGCCTGTTCCTTCTGGGTTCCTTTTTCCAGTTATCCTTTTATTTCTTTCTCTTTTATGTTACAGACCTTCCAAACATAGTTGATGAAATGTGGTTGTCTGTAGTCAAGAGGGAGCTACTGAAAAGCTGATCTAAAGCTGTGTGGGTGCAGGTGAGGCCTGCTCACTTGTGGCCTTTCTTGGGTGATTTAGTTAAGATGCTCCCTGGTCACCTGCTACTGCAGGATCTGTAGATATTTTCTTTTCTATTGGTTGATTTTTACCAGAAGATAAATGTCCAACCTTTTGCTCAGAGGGTACAGTTCTGGCTGCCAGTGTTCTGAGATCTTTGGGGGAAATGAGATCAAGGTCTCTCAATACATAGATATCAACCTCATCTTCCTGTTTTCAGCACAGAGTCCCACCCCTGGCTGGGATTGAGTTGCCCCAGCCCCAAATTCCTGGTTTAGCCCTTCTTCAGGATTAAGTACCAGTCATCTGCTGAAAAGAGGAGGAGACAGGACAGCTGTCTAGCTCATTTTCCACCTGTGTTTATCTCCAGTTCACCTCCACTTCACTCTCTGGGGTTCCTGTTGCCACCAGTTCCTTTTGCCACCTGTGGGGTATTGGGTGGCTTCTAACCTCTGCTAGTTTAGGTTTCAGCTGTCTTAGGTTTGCTAATCCATCCCATTATTCATCCACTTGCCAGACCCCAGGGTGCTCTGTCCCTTTCCCTCTTGTCTGTCTTGATGGATCTAGGCCTTTTGGGCATCCAGAGAGCATCGAGGTAGTCTTGAACTGAGAACCTGTGTTCCTGCTCTTTCTCACCCACAGCCTGATTTCTTCAGGCCCCTGGGATGCTGCAGCACTTGTTTGCCTGACTTTAAAAACCAAGATCAGGCATGGAAGAAGGAATGACAAGATAGGGAGTTAGAAGGCATGACGTCCTCTCAGTAGTTGGGAAAGCTCCTTTGAGGGCATTTGCCAAAGTCCTTCTATTTTTAACTTTTCCCTCTTATAAAAGAAGCATGTAGACATTAAAGAAAGAGTTGGGAAAAAAAGAAAAGAAAAATAAGAAAGGGTTGGGGAAAATATACAGAAGAAATACTTCTTACTTCCTGTTTCTACTTCCAAAAGAAAATTGTTTTCACGTGGGTCTATTTCCTGCTAGGACACTTCGTTGCCCGAGTGTGGACCTCACGGGGACATAGGAGCCAGGGTGGAGGGCCTCATTACCTGGGTCACCACAGGCAACCTACCAGCTTCTCTTTGCTGCCTGTCCCCCGCCCCCTCCAAAGCTCCCAGTAAGGGGAGAATCTTGTCACCCATTCCACAAAGATCACTCAACAACATACTCCCTTTTGGAGGAGAGGGCCTGGGGCGGGGAGATCCTAAAGAGAACAAGACAGAACATCCCAAAGATGCTCCTGGGGTGGGGCTGGGGGAGGTCAAGACAGATCCTCAGAAGGCAGTGGGACCTCAGAAGCAAAGACACTTAGCAGGAACATGGAGGTTGTATTGGGCCATCAGGAAAGGGTCCTGCCAGGTGAGAGTGGAGGTTCTGACTGAACACGTCAGCAGATGATCCTGGAAATGCCGTGGGGCCATACGTAGCTGTCATACCTCCTGAGGAGTGTGTCCTTAAAGAGGATGGGAACCAGCTCTTGAAGGCTTTGGAACAGAGACAGGAGCAGGGCCTGACAAGAGCAGGGCCACCCTCCCTGAGCTTGTCTGGTAAGGTTTTGTCCCCATGGTCCAGGGCTCTGAACCCCACTGTCCCCCTCTTCTCCTCCTGCTCCCCCTCCCTGTTGGCAGGTGTGGATGATGGTGCTGACATCCCCAGGGAGCTGGTAGTAGGCATCTATGAGAGGATTCAGCAGAAGGAGCTCAAGTCCAATGAGGATCATGTCACGTATGTCACCAAGGTGGAGAAGTCCATTGTGGGCATGAAGACAGTAAGTGTCCACCACGGAGCATGTGGGATTTGGTTTCCTCTCCCATGGCTACCAAGCCACCCCTATCTCACATCTCCTTTCCTTTCCTTCTTCCTAACACCTCCTCCCACTCTCCTCCTTACCTTTTAAAAACACTTTTCTGTTATCCATTCACTGTGTGTCAGGTGCTGCGCCTTGTTCTTTCCCTTGCATAATATCCACATTGCCTCTTACCACCAGCTGCCACAGCAGGACAGACTATGGTTGAGATGTCAAGAAGGACTGCCCTGTGGTATAAGGTTGAAGTATCTGAAAGGCCAGATGGAGAAGTTTAGAATCCCTTTCCAGGATGGCATGGATACCAGGAATTCCTGGAAATGGGCTATAGACTGGTGCCTCAAACCATGGAGGTGCCCCTTCATTGTAACCTGTGTCACAGGCAATGTGTTCCAAGTGTGTAATGATATTTTTAATTCACTGTGGTCTATTTATACATGCACACAGCATAATTTTGTCAAATACATTCCACATTTCCTTCTCCTTCACATTCCTCCCCTCCCCCCCATCCTCCTCCTCCTACTCCACTGGTCTTCCCTCTATTCTTCTGGTATCAGACTCTCCCCGCTCCCATTTTTTCCCCTTATTTTGCTCTAGCTTCCACATATAAAACATTCAACCCTTGATTTTTCTGAGTTTGGCTTATTTCTTAGCATGATGTCCTCCAGTTCCATCCAAGTACTGACAAATGCCGTAATTTCATTCTTTATGGCTGAGTAAAACTCCATTGTGTATGTATGCCACGTTTTCTTAATTCATTCAATTATTGACAGGCACCTGAGTTGGTTCCATAACTTAGCTAATGTGAGTTTGTGCAACGATTTTTCAAGTGAGCATCCTGGGTAGATTACAGCACTACTCACATGGGCACAGAAGTGCTTTATACCATGAATATAAAGGAGGAAGAGCAGGTTCCAGGCCCTCCTGACTGAATGGCTGGCTTGGGGAGCAGGCTGGAGAACTTGGGGGCCTCCTCCAGGGCTCTGTTAGACTCCCACTCCCAGTCTGCTTTAGTGCCTTGGTGGCTGAGGTCTTAGGCCTCTGTCTGGTTTGTAAATGGTTTGCTTCTCTTACGCACTAGAGAAGGTTCGTGTGTCCTTGTAATCTCCTCGCTCTTGCACACCTGCATTTGGGTGTGCAGTAGAGAAAGGGATGGAGGAGTCATTGGAAGTGGGGGGGGGGATGCCCTTAAGGTCACAGAATGCAAAATGTTGACAGTGGCTGGATGCGAACAATTGATGGCTCTTTTGGAGTTCTTTTCCCCACTCCTTAATCTCCTCACTCCCTCTAGCATAATGAACCCCTTCTCCTCTGGCTTTGCTCCCCGAGAAGCGAGACGAAGGGAAAAGGCCCCAGATGAGGAGAGAAGAAGTTTAAGGGTCAAGTGCAGGCCCTGCTATAATGGCAGAAGGGCATCCCCTCTTCCTGAGTCGGCTCCTCTGCTGGAAACTGGGAGCGGGGTGCGGGGTAAGGAGGAGGTGGGTGCAGGGTAGGCTCAGCCGGCGCCTGGGTTCCAGGTGCTGTCGGTGCCGCACCGCCGGCTCGTCTGCTGCAGCCGGCTCTTCGAGGTGACCGACGTGAACAAGCTGCAGAAGCAGGCGGCGCATCAGAGAGAGGTGTTCCTCTTCAACGACCTGCTGGTGGTGAGCGGAGAGGACGGGCCGGGCGGGGCGGGGCGGGGCCAGGGCTGAAGCTGCCCCAGGCCCCCCTCCCGGCTCAGACTGGAATGGGACTCTGAAGTGGAGGGGTGGGGGGGGCCAGAGCTCGCAGACAGAATGCTCTCCACGCCGTGCCTGAGTCACCGTTTTCCTGGCATTTACACATCGTGGGTGTGAGGTAGCTCAGGAGAATGTGACCCTTCCTACTTGAAGCAGAGAGACCCACCAAGGTGGCAGTGAAGTAGACCCCAGACCATCTGCCATTCCAAGTTCCAAAACAAAACAAAACAAGACAAAACCTGGGACGGGGAGCACAGCAATGTGCTTCACGTCTCAAGGCCCGGCAGGGACCGTGGGCCCACTTGGAGCATGTGCTACGCCTCGGTCTGGGGAGAGCTGGGTGGGCGCCGGTTGCACGTGAGCATCCTGCTCACATACACATACATACACACGACTGGGAGGTTCTGTGCTTTTTGAAAACAAGTATGCAGTCACCAGATCTTTAATCAGTGTCAACTATGTGCCAGGCATGTTCTAAGCGCCCGGAAACAGGGGTGAGCAGGTTTTCAACAAGATATATCTTCCCGTGGTACCACCCACATCCTCTCTATTCAGAGCCTCGTGGGCATCCCCTCTCACTCCTCCACTGCCGCATGTCATCCCACCCCGAGAGCCTCCCCTAGGGACATTCACTGTCTACTGGCACCCCACCACAAAGGCCTCCTTCCACAGGCTGTGATGCCATCTTTCTAGAGTGCACATCAGGTCCCACCTGGGCTCCAAACGGCCTCCCCGGGTAGGGGAGGGCCCAGGTCTTTGGACTGCATCTCCTATGCACTCCTGGGGCTGCTCCAGAGCTCTGGCCCCAGGGGGGCTGCTCCCACCAACCAGGACTGTCTTCTGGCTACTCCCTCACTTAGGAATCTCCGCTCGACCTTGGTGTGGTAGTTGCCCTCTCTATGCAATCTCAATTCAAATACCTCTCCCCAGGTAGACCCTCCTGCCCACCAAGCAAGGCAGACTGCCCGGTCACTTTTTGTTCCTTACCCTGTTTCATTTTCTTCAAAACACCATTTTCTGAAATTACCTTATTTACCCCTTTCTTCACTATGCTTTATTGATTGATTGAATTACATCTTGACTGTCTTCCTCCAGCACCACATCTTGAGGGCAGGGGCACTTCTTGTGCCCTCCTGTTGTTTTAGTCAGCTTTTTCATTGCTGTGAATAAAAGATCTGACCAGAACAATTTTAGGGGAGGAGAAGTTTATTTGGGGGCTCACGGTTTCAGAGGTCTCAGTCCATAGACAGCCGGCTCCATTCCTCAGAGTTCAGGTGAGACAGAACCTCATGGGAGAAGAGCGTGGCAGAGGGAAGAGCTCACCTGATCAGGAAGCAGAGAGGGAGACTCTACTCCCAAATGCAAAATATATACCTCAAAGCTACGCCGCCAAAGCCCACCTCCTCCAGCCACATCCTGCCCTCCTTCAGTTACCACTCGGCTAATCCCCATCAGGGGATAATTCACTGATTGGGTTAAGACTCTCACAACTTAATCATTTCTCCTCTAAACCTTTTTACATTGTTTCACTTGTTAGCTTTTGGGGGACACCTTACAACCAAACCATAACACCTGTAATCCCAGAACCCAGTTCAGAGGAGGTGCTAATAAAATACTTGTATACTGAGCAACTGGCTGGCTAAACTTTCGTTTTAGTAGGAGAGGGAGAGAGAAAACAATTAAGCAAATAAATGAAAAAGAATATCAGATGGCAGTAAGGTGCTACAAAGACAATAAAACAGGGTGACAGGTCAGAGAGACTGAGGTCAAGGGAGAGGACTTTGGTTTGTTTTTGGTTTATGTTTTACATAGGATGATCCAGGAAGGTATCTCTAAAGAAGTAGCATTTGAGTCAAGACCTAAGTAATGAGGGTAATCCAGCCACACACAAAGCTGCAGGAAGAACTATAGAAAGAGAACAGCATGTGCAAAGGCCCTGAGCTGCCCCTTTTCAAGCTGCAGAAAGGAGAACAGTGTGGCTCCTTCATAAAGCCAGTGTAAACAGTGGCCAGATCCAGTAAGGCTTTCAGGCAAGGGCAGGAAATGGGACTGGCTTCTAAGTGCAGAGGCAACAGCCACAGGTAGGTTTTCATCAGTGAAAAGCACACATGTATATCTGTACATGTATATATGTGTGTGAATATATCTTGAATGCATGCACGTGTATGTGTGTGTGTGTGTGTGTGTGTGTTTGTGGGTTGATTGGTGTATTCACAAGTGTCCCTGGGTTTTGGTGCATGTGTGTGTACATATGCATGTTGTCAGGAATCCACCATAGTCAGTAAATTTTCCTGTTCCTCTCTTGGCAGATTCTCAAACTGTGCCCCAAAAAGAAGAGCTCCTCCACATACACCTTCTGCAAGTCAGTCGGCCTGCTGGGCATGCAGTTCCACCTCTTTGAGAATGAGTGTAAGTCCCCCTGCCCTTTTTTGGTGGTAGTGCTGGGGATTGAACCCAGGGCCTTGTGCATGCCAGGTAAGCACTCTACCAACTGAGCTATATCCCCAGGTCTGGAGTATAAGCCTTGATGATGAATAAATGACCCTGAGACAGGCACATGGGGGAGTGGGGGAAGTAGAGGGAAAAGGGCTGGGGGGCAGGTGAAGGGGCAAGTACACAAAGACTCCATGCCTTCCCCACATCTGGCTGGCTCTAGCCCTTGATGCTGCTGTTGCTCACAACCCTTGGGGTCCTGGGGCTGGTTTCCAGATTACTCTCATGGCATCACACTTGTGACCCCCGTCTCGGGCTCTGAGAAGAAGCAGATGCTGCACTTCTGTGCCCTGGGCTCTGATGAGATGCAGAAGTTCGTGGAGGACCTGAAGGAGTCCATCGCTGAGGTGACAGAACTGGAGCAGATCCGGATAGAGTGTAAGGATACAGTGGCCTGGGACTCCCCGAGGTGGCCAGCAAGGCCAGTTTATAGACAGACATGCCTCTTGCTCCTGAGAGCAGCCCCATTTTGCTCCTGCCCCACTTTGGACCCGCCCACATTCCCCACCTCTGCCGCTCCCAGCACCACCGCAGGCTGCTGGACAAATGGGGCTGATGTGGGTGTGGCTTTACAGTTAAATGAGGCACACTGGAGAGTGCACACAAGTGGAACCCAGGGCTTCACACACACACGCTAGGCAACCACTCCACCACCAAGCTACACCAGGTGAGGGGTTTTGAGCAGGGGGTCAATATGACAGGGCATCATTTTTGGAACACCTGCTAGGTGCAAGGCAGTTTATCTATGTTCTGCTATTCCTTGCAGTGACCTTGAAGACAGATGTATTTGTCCCACTTTAGAGATAAGGTTCAGAGAAGGAATTAGTATGTCCAGGTCATGTCTATGAGAAGTGGAGGAACTGGCATTTGCATTTTAAGTCTGGTTTCAAGGTTCTTGTTCTTTCTACTCTGAGATTGGGAGAAGACGTTCTGTTTATAGTTTCCTAAGAAAATAATTGAAATCAGAGTAAAACAAAAACCACCAGATATAGCTTAGGTCACTGCATGGTGGGGCTAAATACATGCGCATTCCTTTTTGCATTGTTTGCTCATTTGACTTCTGTGCTGTCACAAACAGACTCTTTTCAGGGGCTGGAGTGGATTCCCAGGAGGCCACCTTAGCTGTTGTTCTAGAACATTCTCAAGGATGTTTCATGTCTCTGATGGTCAAAACTTCTCAGGTGGCTTCCACACTGCCCTGGGGAGCCATTGCACACTCCCAGCACTAGCAGTTGCTGGAAGAGACATCTTTTTTCCCATCAGCTGTGGGGCAGCCTATAAATCCCTTCCCAAAGCAACTGAGGAGCAGATATTGTCAGGATCTGCTGTGTCCAGAGGGGAACATCCCCTCCTGCTGGCCAGGGCAAGGGAGCAGGGAGAAAGGCTTAGGTTCCTTTTTCGGTCTTCAGGTGAAGACAAAGGGAGGAGAGATGATAGGCTGGCCATGGGGCAGGCAGGAGAGGAAGTCAGAAAGTGAAAGAGAAAATGGAAGCCAGTAGCAGCTACCATGAATTGAGCATCACTCCATGCCAGGCACTGGGCTGTAGGCAGAGCCTATCAGTTTTCACAACCACTTTCCACGGGTGTCTATTAATCTCATTTTTAAAACAAGGAAACCAAAGCTAATAGAGCTTAAGGAAGGTGTCCAAGTTCTCAAGGTAAGTGACAGCAAGCGCCGCACCCAGTTTCTGCAGATTTCTTGTATGTAATTATGATGCTAATTTCTCCAAAGCCCAGAAGGCCCTCTGGAACTGTCCAACAATTCTCAGTTCAGTAAAAATATGAAGTTTGAAGGATGTTGTGATTCAGGCAATCGGGACAGATTATTCTGGTTTGGGGGCTTTCAGTTCAGTGTCCCTGGATTCTAGACAACCAGAGAGACAGAAAATGGAACCCAGGAGAGCAGCTTTAATAAAAGGAACTTGAGTTATGTCTCCTGGAACAGAGAAGCTGGAGGAGTTATTTAATAGTGACTGTCGGAGCTCCAGTGATGGTGACTGGCAGTTTTCTAACACCACGGGGAGAACGAGATGGAACAAGTTTCCAGTCCAGGGAGAGGCATTAAAGTGGAATGCCAAGATAGATGTCCTGGCCACACGGGCTGTGCAAGCCCTACAGATGCCCAGGTAGGCGGAATCTCCTTCTTGAGAGAGAGCTTTGAGCACATGCAGAAGCCCAGTAGCTGAGGTGGGCTCAGTTCTTCCAGATACACGTGGATGGACTAGATATACCGACTTTGTCTTCCCTGCAGAGAGGCACAGAAAGCTAAGATAACTTGCCTAACGCCACACAGCTAGGGAGCGTCAGAGCCAGGATTCCAGCCCAGGTACATCACCTTCCTCAGACTAGCCTCTTCCACTGCCCCTCTGGCATTCCAGCAGATCTTGCCATCCCGATGTACAGATGAGACTGTGGCCCCAGAAAAGAGTTAACTGGACCTTGAGTGCCATGCCAGACCCTAAGGTCCCTCCCTGTAGCATGTAGTAGGGCTCTCCTAGTCCTCTTCCGGCTCTCCCCACTTTTCCTTGCTCACCTCTGTGGGGTAGAATTTAGGGTTCCTGTCTGTTCATGGCCTCTACCTTCCTCAGGGGAGCTGGAAAAGCAGCAGGGAACAAAGACGCTCTCCTTCAAGCCTGGGGGAGCCCAGGTGGACTCACAGTCGAAGCAAGGATCGCCTACAGGTGAGCCTCAGCTCTGCCCCCGGTCCCTGGCCCACATGGACACTTGAGGCGCTTGCACCTGGCTCCTGGGTGATTTGGGTGGGAAACGTGCCCCTTTCTCTGGCCATTTCTTTCTGTGGAGCTCCAGGGTTGCTGTCTTTAATCTCATGGGCTTCAGTAGGGAAATGAGAAGGAAGGTGAGAGAGAAACCTATCCATTTTGCAAACTGCACCAGAGTTCTGGAGCCCATGAGAAATGTCACAATGCACTTTGGAGAAATCAAGTCCTGGCCCTGATGGGAGGAGCAGTGTAATAAGGAAGGATGGCCAGGAGGGTCTGGGTCTGATCTTGAATCTTGCTGTGCCTGGTGCAGAGCCTTATTCTTTCCCTAATGAGCCCCAAGCCCAGGTCAGCCTACCCCAAGATCCAGATGAGCCTCAAACTCAACTCCTTCAAATTGAATTGTTTCCCCGCCAAGTTGAATAAGCTTCAGACATGTCCCTTTTGCCATAGTCTCTACACCTGCTTCTCCCAACCCCTGCCATGCCCCCTCCTTCTATCTGCTGCCCCGACTTTATTCATCATTTTCAGGGAGCACCACCTCCCTTCCACCAGCAACAAATAAAAGGAATGGGGAGACATGGCATGAGACTTACACCCCTTCCCAACAGAACCCCAGCAAACATCGAGAACTGTTCAATAACCCAGTCAATCAGTGTCATGTTCAAAAAATGCCTACTGAGTATCTGCTGCTCTACATGGAACACCAGAAAACCAGGGTCATAGTAAGGTGTCAGCCTGAGCTGAGAAACTCCAGTGGGTTCCATGTGGTCTCAAACCCTCCATAGCTGTCCCCAGATATAGGGACTGGTCACATCAGCTGGGACTTAGGATTCACTTCCGAGCAAGACATGGGGCTCTTTTTGCTGCACGGAGATTCTTACTATAACTGTCATCTTTGCGGATGGTTGGACCTGCCATGGTGCACCCATAATTCTCCACCCAGCCTGTTAGGGGGCCCCTTTGTTTCTATAAGGTCATAGGACGTGGGTCACTGTTTTTTGCAGGGTGGTCTAAACCCCACAGCCGGCCCTCAGCTGTGATTTACCCCTTCTCACCCACAGCCTGTATCCCCGCTGGCCTCTCTTTTGGGAGCTGCAAGCACAGGTCAGGCCAGGATGCGCATCCCCAGGGACTTGGCCATCGGTGGCCTCAGCAGTGAGGCGTTTCTCTTTCCCAAACAGTGGTGCTGCTCCCTCTTGCATTTTGGAAAACAGAGGGCTGTACACTGGCAAGGGGAGCTGGCACCCCCAGGAGTTGAGACATCAGAGGGGCTCCTGCTGGGGGTGGGTGGAAACTATCAGTGACTTAGCCAGAAAAGTCATCAAGCTGTCCCTGGGGGTCCACAGGGTCCCTGCTGCTGTGCCAGGCTAGGCAGAATGCCTTACTAGTAATTATAGGCCATTATCGGCTCTGATGCGTGTGGGGCACCATGTTTTGAGCTGTGAAGACCTCAACTGATCAAGTCCTCACCACTCAACCAAGTCACAGGGACAGAAACAAAGTCAGGCTTCTCCCTCAAGGGGCCTGTGGGTGAAGGAGGCAGATTACCATGATACCCACAAACCAGGACTCACCCCATCAGCCAGCTTTCCTAGTCCATTTTGGAAAGGCTTTGACTGTGGGGAATTAGACTCCACAATGTCAACATCAGACATCTGCTAGTGTGTGGAGGCCCAGAGATATGCAGCATCTTGCCCAGATCACACAGCCACTGAGTGGTAGAACTGAGTTCCTGCTGCATGGAGATTCTTACCTGTACAGTGCAGCCTGTCATCTGCACAGATGGCACTTATGGTATTGCTGCCCTCAACAGCCAACAACAGAGATGCTGGAGGGGAGGAGTAGGGTGGGCCAGGTTTCCCTCCAGGACTGGTAGAGAATGAGCCTATGCTGTTTGCATTCAAAGCCAAAAGGGAAGCCGCGCTGGGGGAGAAGCCGGTGGAGAGCTCAGGGGAGGTAAGTGGAGGCCTGGTTGTGTCCAGGTGAGTGAGTCTGTGCCCCTCTTGTCCTTCTTCTCACCATCTCTGTTGTTTCTCTTCTCAGGTATTAATCAATGCCTCCCCAGCCCGACTCACCATTTTACCAATTTCAAGAGATACAATTAAAAGTTACTGCTAGCATGGATAATGCCACTCTTCCAGCCCCCAGTTAAGCTACAAGCACTTTCTGCCCACTCCCCAGCCCAGCCCTCCCTGCCCATTGCCCTCCAAGGCTGAGCTCCCAGACCAGCCCCATGGAAACAAAGCCCATGACACCCCCGTGTCCCTCCCACCCATGCTGTCCCCGTATCTACTTCCCCAGCAGACTCTCCACTGCTCTCCAGTATTTGCTGTGTTAGAGAACCCACTATTCCCTTCTCAGGTCCTCCATCCCTGTAGGAGGGAGCCTAGGTTCCCTCTAGAAAGTCACCCATTAAATCCCCAAAGTGAACATTTCTCCGGCAGACCAGCCCTTTTGGATACCTCCTAGGAAAGATGGAGAATTGAGAGTGGGAGCAAGGGGGGAGGAGTAGCTTCTCCTCAGAACATCTGGTCCCCCGGAAAGCTGGCCCCCGGGGGACAGTGATGTGCACAGGAAAAAAGGAGTCAGACTTGGGCTGGGTCATCTTAGAGGTCTTCCTGGGGGAAGAGCTGATTAATATTAAGACCAGCTGTGTTGGAGGCAGAGGGTGGTGTCCCTCCCTAAGCCACCCGAGAAGGGACTGGGGAAGTAGCATCTGGTCCCTGCCAGCCCCAGAGTGTCTCCCCTGTGGGGGACCATGGAGTTGCCCTGGCATGTTGCTGGGTCCCAGCCCTCCACACTGGATCCTCACACCCCTGTGAGACCCAACCTTACTCCTTTGCTGCCAGGCCCCTGGGGACCTCTAACTGCACATACAGATGATCCTTTCCCAACCCCCACTTCAAAGTGGAGGCTCCCACCCAGCTAAATAAGGGAGGAGCCCCACCTGGAGTCTGCCCAAGTCCTGGGAAGCCACAGGATGTCCTGGGGAGATCAGTTTCTTCTCTGTCCCCTTGGCCCCCACCCCCCACACACGTGTGTCTGGAGGAGGCACCTTTACTCGGAGGAGCTTCCTGCCCCAGCAGCTGACCAGCCCCCAGGGTGGGTATTCCATCCCCCACCCTCCTCTCCCCATCTTCCTGCAGCTGCCCATTCTCAGCCTTGCAGATAAACATGCCCAGTTACCAGCCCACCGGCTTGTTCTGCCAGCCCTGCCCAAGCCTTAGCCCCGGCTGCCCAAGGAAGACCCCAGTTGAACACCCTATCTCCCCTCCTACCTGCCCTTAGGGGCCATGTGGCTATCTGCAAGGCTGCTACCCCTCAGCTAGCTCCAGGGCCCTGCCAGCCTCTGCTCCTCTGCACAGAGGGTAGCCTCTCTACCCCATGGCCTCTCAGCTGGACCCCAAGCTCTCGTCCTCTGCCCTCTCCTCCATCATTGCCTGGCCGAGCCCCTCTGGCAGGCGCTTCTCCATCTTCTCTGAGCTATTCTGAGCTGCTACTCATGTTCCATCCTCTCTCTTCTCTTTCTTTCATGAGCAGGGAGGTGAGAAGGGGGTTAAAATGATAGGGAATTTTGCTGTCACGTCCTGCTTTTCACTTACTGACCATCAAAAATAAAGGACCCAGATTGGGGTGGGGGCTGCAGTGCAGCAGAGGAGAACTAGAGCAGGAGGTGGAGGGAGATTCTGGAAGAAGCCAAGAGCTTCTGGCCTCCTGGGAGCAGCCGAGGAGGAGGATCAGGAAGGTTGGGTCTGGGCTGAGTGACCAGGTGTTCTCCCTGAGAGGGAGCACTGTGAAGGTGGGGACAGGGAGGCAGATGGGCCCTGAGCTTAGCTTGGCTGTTCTCAAGCCACTTGTCTCCTGGGGAATAGTTCAAAATACAAGCAAGTGGGGGAAGGTGCCCATGACCTCCGGCAGTGGCTTCTGCCAAGATGAGGACCGCAGAGGCTCCGTGAAAGGAAGAGTAAGCCCTAGCTGTGCCCTCTCCTGCCATGTATCTTGAGGCACCTCCATTTGTTTAGGGGGATCTCAGACCTGGACAGTCAGCCTAGGACAGTGCAGTAGGAATCTGAGAGTGAAGGATAAAGCCTGTAAGGTGCTGGGTGGCAGTGGGGCCTGTGAATCCTGAGGGGAAGACAAAGGTGGGGAGCCTTGAGAGAGAAGCAACCCACTGGGAGGACCTATTTCCAGAAAAGGGGTCCCTGAAATTATACCTTTAGCGATAAACAGAACTAGGGAATGCTGGTTTAGGGCTCAGAGATAGTTTTGGATTGGACCACCCAGTCTAGGCCTGAGATAAGTCCCCCTCCCTGTAGCTTCAGTGTCCTCCTTTGCACTGTGAGCAACTGGCCCCATGTGGTAGTGCCCAGGGACAGCTGACAGCCCAGTAGGAAGCATCCTCAGAGAGGGGAAAGGGTTCCACCCACCCTGCTCAAAAGGCCCCAGTGTTTGTAGAGGGTTCTGATGTGACATATCTACAGGTTGGGGGCTTGGGTGTGGCATGGAACAAGATAAGGAATTAAATCCTTCTCCTTCCAGAAAAATCTAGCCCCCTTGCCACCCATTTTTCTCCACCTTGCCCTGCTAGCAGGATGAGGCTAGGGAAGTTCATACTGACCTCCGTAGTCTTACAAGTACCATCCAGGTCACCTCTTCCTGTTCCACCCAAGGGATAAACAGGAGAGCCTCTCCCTTCCTGTAGCAGAGCCCAGATTGAGATGGAAAGGAGGGTGGGGCCTGACTCTGCCCTTGGCTGCCTGGGCTGTTCTTGAAGTCTAGGAGGATGGGTAGGCCCAGAACACCCCTTTCAGGGGTCCCCAGCATTCTGAAGTTGGGGCACCTTTAGGTCAACAGCACTGAGGCTTCCTCTCCAGTGAAGCTGGAGAGAGGAAATGGGATTGAAGAATCCAAAACACCAGGCTCTGCCCCTGTGCCCAATCCGGGACAGTGTCTACATAGTGTCTGGGAGGCCCTGAGCAGATACAGATCATTACCCCTACCTTTCAAGCTTGGTCAGTACAGAGGGTCATAGGAAGGAATTAGCCCTTGACCTAGAGCTTCCCAGCAAGTCCACGAAATCAGACTGCAGATTCAGGCAGAACCCATCTCACAGATGAGGAAACTGAGGAATGGAGTGCTATGGTTGCTTGTGGACAGTCTCTTACCTCCTCTGTCCCTGCTCACAAGAACCAGAGTCAGAACCAGTTTTCCTCTGGGTAGAGAGATGGGTCGCAGGTCAGAGAAAGGGCTGAGAGGGAGGGAGGGAGTCAAAGGGAGGCTCAGGGTAGCCAGTCCTAGCAGCTGGGAATTAGTCTTGTAACATTTCATGCTTCTCTGGCTGTTTCTAAACTAGGTGTCAATTCACAACAGGCTTCAAACGTCCCAGCACAACCCCGGGCTGGGGGCCGAGAGGGGAGCACCGCAGCTGCCAGACCTGCAGCCTAGCCCCTTGAGAGAGCAGCCCCCACCGCTGCCACCGCCACCCACGCCCCCAGGCACCCTGGTGCAGTGCCAGCAAATTGTCAAGGTCATTGTCCTGGACAAGCCCTGCTTGGCCCGCATGGAGCCCCTGCTGAGCCAGGCTCTCTCCTGCTACGCCTCATCCTCTTCTGATTCCTGTGGCTCCACACCTCTGGGCGGCCCAGGCTCCCCGGTCAAGGTCATCCACCAGCCTCCACTGCCCCCGCCCCCACCCCCCTACAACCACCCACACCAGTTCTGCCCACCGGGCTCCCTGCTGCATCGGCGCCGCTATTCCAGCGGCTCAAGGAGCCTGGTGTAGACTCTGTCCCCCAGCACCCTACTGTCCTAGGAGAGCTGTCCACTGGGGGGGACTTGGGCTGTCCTTCGCTGCTCCCCACACCCTGGCACGATGTGTTCCTGGTCACTGATCACTGTCATTTTGGAAAGAACCCCAATCCCTGGAACATGGGTTTGCTTGGTCCAAACATCCTCCCCTTACTCAGCTGAGCACCCCTTCCCCCAAGAGGGGGAGACATGGCCAGATGAGGTGACACCTCCTCTTCCTATGGCTACCACTCTCCCCAGTTGGACCGTGAATTAAAGAAAAATAGAGATGAGGGACTAACAGGTGGCCGGCTCTAAGTCTATTAGTGTCCAGTGGCGAGCAGCAGAGCCCTGGATGGAAAGCAGCTGCCTCACAGCCCCAGGACCAGATGCATCTGTGGCTGAGTGGAGGAGAGTAGACCCTGGTCCCTGGAGGTACCAATGAGTGGGAGATGTGAGAAGGGGGACTTTCTCTGCTGCCCCTGTCCCCCAGGCCTGGCAGTCTCAGAGAGCTTCTCCATAGTTCCCCCAAAGACATTGGCTGTTCTGACCATGTCTTTCCCCTCTTCCTCTTCCTGGGGCTTTTCCTGAGCTGGCCTGATTCCAGGAGGGCTCAAGAAAGGGAAAGGGGAGCACTCCGCTGTCTCTGGGCCAGATGAACAGGGCCATGGAATTGCTGGATCATATATCTGCCAAATGCACTTTTTAAAAGCATTTCTTAATCTCCTGGCCCGTAAATAATACCCAGTCAATGCCAAGAGCACACAGGCCCTTGCACATAAATACACATGAGAACCAATGTGGAAGCAGAAACAAGGGATGAGGCAATGATTTGCCCAGAAGAGGTGCCACTTGGCCCCGAGGCAGGGCTCCTTTTTCCATGACTCTGTGGCCTCCAGGAGAGGCTTGGGTGCGGAGGCAGGCAGGAGAAGTGGGGCTCCAAAGGCTGCATCTCCCCTGCTACCCCCAGCCTTTAAATAGTCCCCCTTCTGGAAGGTATGGACCCACTTCCAGTAGGGATGGCTAAGAATCCTGGACTCTCAAAATTGCAAAAGACTATAATCCTGGTAACCCAGGAGGCTGAGGCAAGAGGATGCAAGTTCAAGGCCAGCCTGGGCAACTTAGTGAATTTTCTCAAAATTTAAAAAATGGGGTTGTAGCTCAGTGGTAGAGCAGGGTTCAATACCTAGTACCAAAAAAAAAAAAAAAGAAGAAGAAGAAGAAGAAGAGGAGGAAGAAGAAGAAATTGCAAAGGAGCCAAGCAGGGCTCCCTGACTTCCCAGGGCAGAGCAGAATCAGAGCCAACTTCAGGTGGCCACACGGAGCCCAGGGAAGTGTCCTCTCCCCAGTCAGATGAAAGGCAGCCCATCCTCAAAGTCCACAGGGGCAGTGCTATTCTCCCCAATCATGACCCTTCCAGGAAGTGTCTATCTCAAGCCAGGCCAGTCTCTAGTCCTGTGCCAACCATTGTCGCTCCTTCATTAAGATTCTCCCACCCCGTCTCCTACTCAGAGCCTGTTTTTAAAGCACCCAGAAAGACACAGTGAATATTGCCCAAGTCTAAATTGAATTGGCTTCTCCCAGTCCCTACTGCACACCCCAACCTGCAGTACTCTGGGCCAGGTAGGAGGCACAGATAATTCCTGGCTCTCGGAGAGGCCAGATGACCTAGTTTCTTATGTACATGTGTGGTCACCCAGACGTCATTATGATGTCACCCAGTGAGTTTATTTCTGTCTTTGTCGGCCCAATTTCCATAACTCATAACTTGCAGCCAATTTGCTGGCTCCCCTGGGGCTCCCAGCCCATCTGTTCCTCCCTGTCCTGGCTGCCTTGGCCCCCCTGCAGGGTCTTTTCTGTAACAGGAATGTTCCAGTCAAAGCCTTTGGAATGGAGCAGCTCACAGATGGACAGATGGGGTGCACAGGTCAGACACCTCATTGCCCTTGGCTAAGAGGTGTCAGGGCCTTGGGAGGAAGTAGAGTTGCAGTATGGAAATGGATAAATCTCAAATGAAGGTGAAAATTATGAATGGGAGGCAGGGTATGAGCTATGAAAGAATGAGCTATGAGCGCAGCTAAATATATTTGTGGGGTGGGAACCGTGGATGCCAAGGGCTGCCGAGGAAGGGGCACAGCCCAGACAACTTGGTCCCCATCATCAGGACCAAGGTCTCCTGCTCACATCATGCTTCAAGCTGAAAGAGTGCCCTCCCTTCCTGTTGATGGGCACAGTAACACTGCCCCCCCAAAGGCCTGACTTTCCACGGCAGGGGTCTTAGGGTTGGCACATGTATGTACTCTTTCTGCAAAGGAAGCAGATCAGCGTGGGGTCATGGGCACCCAGCAGTTCTGAGCAGGGAGGGACTCTGACCCCCTGATCACCTAGGGCAGGAGACAGCTGGGCCTCCTCACCGTCAGGGGAAGTCAGAATTCCCAACATCTGTAACTTCCCTACCCACTTAGCCAGCAGGCTAAGTTTGGGACCTGTCTCTGTCCTTTTCCACAGAGACCTAGGAGAAGCCTCCTGTCCCTCCCCATGATAGTGGTTCAGTCCTCCCAGAGGGCCTGGCAGAGATGCCCTTGGCCCTCCTGCTCTCCCAAGAGGGCAGTGGAGTGCTGACTGAGCCGCCAGACCCAATCACACCAAGATGGCCCCACTTCATCAACTCTCTAGGCCTTACTTTAAGGGACTTGGTCCCCTCTCCCAATTTATCCACCTGGCCCCAACTCCAGAATTGAGAGTGGGGGATGAAACTAGCTTTCCCACCAGCTTTTGGCCAAGTCCCACCTTCAGGCCTGAAACAGGCCCGGCCCCAGCAGCTTGTCCCAGAAGCCTGCTTGTCTGTCTGTTTGTTCACAAGTTTCACAAAGATGTCTTGCTCCCACACACACTTTTCGGCCCTGGGCCTTTGATCCCTCACCCACTTGTCCCCCAGAGCCTGCCAGGATGTCTCTTGTGCCCAGTAGGCCTCTTGACAACCATCCATCTGTCTGTCCCTGTGTTCAGCTGTATGTCCCTTCTCGCTGTGCCCCTCCTCCCCGCATACACCGTTCACCCCACTGGAGAGACACCTTTCTAGGAAAAGTCAGGGTGGCTGCACCCAGCAACTAATCCAAATGGCAAATATTTTGTAACAAAATAGCCCAGAGGTATTTTATCTGTTCAATTCATAGAGTTTTAGAGATTATATTGAAATATGTCACTTGAGCCAATTGTGTCTGTTGTTTCATTTGTTTTCACAGAGGGAGGACCCACCTTAAATCAGAGCATCTTCCTGGTTAGGGTCGGGTCAGAAGATGTACTGGTGCCCTCAGCCCTTGATGTTTCCCCAATCTTTCACCTGAACCTGTTGCCCTTTCATTCAGGAAACAGGGCTGGCTAGACCAGACCCTGCCATCGGGTTTCAGCCTATGGGAGTTGATTTCAGGTGAAAAATCACCTGGGGTTAATGATCAAATCTTGTCAATGGGATGGGCTCCCTCCACCCAATGGACTCTTGCTCTCCACTGCCTTCTTGGGGCAGCTGGGGGTGTCAGGCTGCTCTCCTCCACCGTGGCAGTCATTCCAGGATAAAGTATTTATGTGACATTGTTGGGAAGTCCTGGATGGGGAAAGTAAGGACTGGTCATCTAATGGGGGTGCACTAGGGCAGAGCTGGGGAGCGGGGCCAGGAGATTGCCTGTGGGTCCAGATCTGCCTGTGGGTCCAGATCCACCGCTGCCGTCAACACACACACACACACACACACACACACACAGCCAGTTAAGAGACCAGGTTACAATGGAGACTGGAGGCAGCTGCAGAGGGAAGAAGTATTACAACGGTGTGCACCAAGGCAGTGAGGGGATGGAGGCTAGGACCCTCCCAGCCTGCTTGGTTTTCTGCAAGGGTCCATTGGTAGGTCGAGGGAGCCCATCCCACTGACCAGATTGGATCATTAACCTCAGGTGATTTTCAGTTACCCAAGTGTAAAACCTAATGACAGGGTCTGGTTTGACAAGCCCCTGGGGTCTACTGTTCCTGAAATGGAGGGGCAACAGGTTCCAGTGAAAAGATTGGGGGGAACATTGTTGGGGAACGTAATTGGAGCCACAGAGAGCAATTTGGCAAACATTTCCTGAGCCCTACCACGTGCCTGCCAGGTCTCCTGCTGGGAGCTGCAAGAGATGCCAAGATTCTGAGAAGGATAAGACAATAGCCTGTGGCTGTAACACAGGGTGAAGGGACTCTGAAATGTGGGCTCCTGAGAGACACAAGGGCTTGGCTGAGTCAGAGCCACGTGCAGTGCTCAGCCCAGCTCTGCTCTTTGCTCCATGGTTAGGTCCTGTTTTCTCCTAACTGGGGACAGAAGAAAGAGTCTTGCTGAGTCATCAGAGGACCTCACTGAGGAAGGAGAGCAACTGTCAAGATGGTACCTGCAAAGCAGGCCCCCAGCTCTCCTGGGGATCAGAACTCTGAATGCCCAGAAATCTAGACAAATCTAGTGCCCTCACCAGGGTCCCACTGTCCCCTGTAAAAGGGGACATGACCTCACACTTTTCCCAGGAAATAGGAAATTCCAGAAGAAACAGAAGCCAACTAGGACCTGTCCTATCCTGGGAATTCTATGACCCAGGAAGCTGAGGACTGATCCCTTGAGAATACCCCGGAGGGGACCTAGCTCAGCCCAGCCCTGGGAGAGGGCCTGCAGCCAAAAGAACCCCACTGTTCAGATGCAGGCGGGCTACACTGGTCTAACTTTCCGGCCCCTGAAGTCATCTAGGAGGAATTCCTATCCATCCAGTGAGAATGGACACCATCATATTCTAACAAAACCCTCCAAATCCCTCTGGATCCATCTGCCATTGAGATGGAAAGCTCTGATCCTTTTTGTGATGGTGGAAATTCACACTCATCTGTCATTGACTTCGAATTTTTGCAGGAAGGGGTCCCGGGATTTATTGGTTTCTGGCTGAGAGCAACAGGCCAAACAAGATGGCAGTGCTAGAAACTGGGGTGAATTCAATAACAAGCTTGTGCACACCTGCCAGCCAGCAGACACCTTCCACCTTCCAAGTGTCTGGGCTTACAAGTTCACACTGGGGGTGCCATCCAAAAGAAACAAGAAATGGACCAGTTATTTCAACGTAGAGGTTGGTGACATGGTAGGGGTCATGGGCAAGGCCTATATTAGAATGAAACTTCACAGGGCTCTCCAAGGAGGGAATTCTCCAGTCAGGGTCAGGTCTGAGGACCAGTGAATATGTTCAAGGCCACCTCTACAGACTAGAATGAACATATCTTCATGAGACGGAAACCAAGACAATCTGCCAAAGGATCATAACCTGATATATAAATTTACTTGCATGAAAGAAAAAAAAATCATACTCAAGTGTACAAATGGATTGAAAAACCACCTTCACTGAGGAAAATCATAAAATTGGTCTTCTAAATATTCTATCCAGGTCAGATAGTTACCAGAAGCACAGAGCAGGGAAAGAAGTGGTGTGGGGACAGGTAGTCAGGTGGCTCCTAGAGGCAGGGGTGGAGGCAGCACTAAGGCTGGGTGCACAGGCAACTGTGCTAGAGGACCCAGGCCATCACAGTAGACCCAGGAAGCAGACACCAGCAACAGTGAGGCCCAGCCACCCCAACATGGGGCACCTGCTGTCCCAACAAGTACACTTAGGTGATTCTCCTGATGAAAAAAGAATCCATTCCAGGGCTTGGTCAGCCAGCTGGCAGTTATGTTAGTTAGCATTTCATCATTGTGACCAAAATGACCGGTAAGAACAACTTAGAGGAAGAAAAGTGTATTTGGAGCTCATGGTTTCAGAGGTCTCAGTGCATGGTTGGCCAACCTCATTATTCTGGGCCTGAATCAGGCAGAACATCGTGGTGAAAAGGCATGATAGAAGAAAGCTTCTCATCTCATGGGAGCCATCAAGCAGAGAGAGGGGGGCTTGGGGAGCACACAGGGGCAAAATCTAATCTCTGAGGGCACACCACCAATGACCTATTTCCTCCAGCCACACCCCACCTGCCTACAGTTATCACCCAGTACTCCTTTCAAGTTATTAACCCATCAAATGAATTAATCCACTAATTAGGGTACAGCTCTCATAATCATTTCACCTCTGAATGTTCCTGCATTATCTATCACATGAGGTTTTTCTGGGGGGCACCTCATATTCAGACCATAACAACAGTCTACTGTCCACCTCCTCCCCTGTGACCCCAATCCACGAAGACTTGGGTTTTAAGTTATAATGGGATGTTCTGTGGCTTATTGCCAGTCAGTCTTGCAACTGACAGCCCCTCACACCTCAGCACAAACCCCACAAAACTGAAGCCAGATTGACAGCAGGGCTGGCACAACATCAACATGGCCATGTGCCTTGGCATATCTGCCCTCCTCTCCCAGTCCTTACAGATGTGGCTAACTGATCACTGCTTTCCGGAACCGCCATCCATCACCAGGATGTTGTTGACACCAGGATGCAATAAACTTGCCAGGCAGCCCATGATATCCTTTCTAACGGAGGCACCTTGGAGGAAGGAAGCCACAGGGTTTCTTCCATGTCACTGCTCTCAGATTCCTCATGGAAAATAGCTCTGCTTTTGTTCTACCAATGGAACAAAAGCCACTTAGATGCCTAGGATTGCTCTCTTTAGGACTTCACATAACTGTCAACCAAATATCTTGTCCACTAGGTCCCCTCACTTATCCACTCACCTCCCATGAAGTCTTTTCCTCTACCTACAGGGCAAGCCATAGAACTGCCAGGGTCACAGACATAAACCAGGAGAACTGGGAAGAAAGGCATCCTGAGGGCAATCCACCCCAGGATGCATTTAGCTGCTTTAGGAGATAACTCCATTCTGCCCTCCCTCCAGGGAGACCCTTCAGAGAACAGCTTCCTCCAGGAGAAGGTGAGGCTCAGCCAGAGCCCAAAAGCCACAAGGGCCAAGGGCTGAGTTCTTTTCTGCTCCTCTTCTCTTCCCAGGGACTCAGAAATAGGCCCCAAGCCCTAGCTTGGAGGCAGGAAGATTAAAAGAAGAAACAGGAATAGAGAGGGGGGCAGGTCCAGAACTGGTCCTAGCAGGAAAATTCCATTCTGGATAAGGCTGGAAGAAACAAGAACTGGAGCTCAGAGGATGGGGAGGAGGGATGGGAACTCTCTCTTTCCCATTCCCCCTGCAGGTCTGTGTGCTTTGTTCCCAAAGGAACCAGGCAGTCTAACCCCACTAGCCAACCCCTAGCACCTCAGGGCTTCCTGCTCCCATGACCCTAAGGACTGACTGATCTCAAGCCTGGCTCTGGGAAAACTGGGAGCTAGTCACAGAAAAGTCAGGATACCCAGAGGATCATATCTTCATTTCAACTTCCTAAGAGACCTGGCTTGGTCTCCTTCTCCAAAAGCCCCCATTCCATTTTCATCCAAGACAGGTGGGCCTCCCACTACCCACCGTTGGGGAGTAGAAGGCAGAGGGGAAAGACATGGTCCACCTTCACAGGGAGTTGCAGAATCCCCAGCAGGCCTGTGAGCAGACTCACAGGTAAGTTAGTCCAACTAACTAGGTTAGTTATCGTCTTACAGATATGACTATTTAGCTTAAGAACAACAATACACAGAATGGGCCCAAAGAAAGTAGAAATAAGTAAATAATAAAGACAAAAGCAGCCAGATGTGGTGGTGCTCACCTGTAATCCCAGCAGCTCAGGAGGCTGAGGCAGTAGAATCACAAGTTCAAGGCCAGGACCAGCAATTTAGCAAGGCACTAAGCATCTTAGCAAGATCTTATCTCAAAAGAAAAAATAAAAAAGGGCTAGGGATGTGGCTCAGTGGTAAATCATCCCTGGGTTTAATTCCCCCCCCCGCCCCCCAAAAAATTCATGACATAGGAAATACATATACAATAGAAAGGATTGACAAAGCCAAAAGTTAGTTCTGTGTAACGATGAATGAAGGTGATAAACCTCTGAGAAGACTGATCCTGAAAGTCAGCACGAATAAGTAGATTGAGGACCTCCAAGGAGGACACAACTGCAAACACCACAGGGAGTTTATTGTAAGAAGAATACTAAAATAAACTGCAAATAAACCGTAAGTCTTATGATGATAAGTTTGAAAACCTTCCCAAGATAAACACTATCCTAGAAATATAAGATATCTAGAAAGATATCTTACCAATACTCCAGGAAATTTGAAATGTATAACCATTAA